CAGAAATTTTTGTTGGGAAAATTGAAAGTCTGCCTGCCTTTTTGAAGATTTTGTGCTCAGCCGGCAATAAAAGTTTGAAGGTGAAGAAAATGCACATGGCACCATGGCGGAAACACCGGTACATGGAAGCCAAGTGGCTTAGAATTTGTGAGCGGTTGACATCCACGACGCCGTTGTCGACTGGGTATTCCGGCCGCGCGCCTCGGCCAAGGGCCTCCATGCTTACTGTAGATTTGACGGAAAACTTTCCTAATTTGCACCGATCCGTGGTTGAAGTGGTGTGAATTGTATAACGAATTTTGTGTACTTCTTTTCTTTTTTACAGTTCTTCCATAATATAGAGCAAAATTAAACTCGGTTGGAGATCAATAATAATTCCGTCCCTGTTTGGTAGAAATTAAAATCAGATTTTTAACATATTTTAATAAAAGTTGATGAAATGTGTGATTGAAAAGTTGTAGGTCCCATAAAATGTATGGTTAAAATTAATTGTTAACTTTAATTTGAAATTCTAATTGAACTTTAATCCAAACGAAACAAGGGCTTAAAACGCCCACATTTGAATTTTTAAATAAATTTGGAGTCGGCTACGTTAATTTTTCAGATTTACCTACCTTATGCAACAGAGTTGGACCAAGACAGTGACAGAGAAAATGACAATCCTCATCTGATTTCTTCAAATGTTGGCTGTAAAACAATGCTAAAACTACGTGGAGTCATGGAGACATGGAGAAAATTTCCTTGGATGTTATCTTGTCGAGATGGTCTATATCCATGTCTTGCCTTTGGAATAATTTATTAACTTTCTGTCACATTATTGTCCTATCCTTGGGGTCGAATTGCATGCATAACAAAGCCTAAATGAAGCACTTGATGCCCGACCAGTCCTCACCACTTCGGTTGACAGGTACCCGAATCGTGGCCATGCATTTGAGCTAATTAACCAAAAAATCAAGCCTCGCTTTCATTTATCTATCAAGTAACATAATGCAAGCCTTAATGTGTCAACTTAGCTCTTTTGCTTCCATCCATGGTGCAAATAAAGAACACCAGAAGCAGGGGCGCAGTCAGGATTGGCGTTCAGTGTGGGCACAATTTGTCCACGCCAAACGTCGAGTTTTTAGTCATGGATGTGAATACCCCAGTTAGAATGTAAGGGTGAAAAGCCAATAGGAGTTGAAGAGGATAGGAAATTTGAAAGTGGATGTAGTTTCAATGGATGAAGAGGAAAGGGAACAAGTAGTAGAAGATCAAAACGAATCCCTTGTTAAGGGGA